TGGCAGTCCTTAGTATCAAATGGGTTGTACTGGATCGTTTTAGCAGGAGGAAGAATGTGGTGTGGGAATATATCTGATTGCACCACCATGAGACCTCTGCCTAATGAAGGAAAGCCAGTGATGTACAAGCTGAATGCAAGCCCATGCAATGTCTCTTCTCTCCTTCAGCTCCCTAGAAACTCTCCTCCCTGTGCCAGAGCATCTGGGAGACATAGCAGATATTTTGGAGTGTGTTTTATTGACTTTATTAACTTTCAATAATTGGTTTTATGGATCTTGCACTTCTCAAACAATTTCCTGGTTCTGGCAGTCGCTCTCTCGTGCTAGTGACCAGTAAGGCCGATTTCCCGATGTTCTGTATATTCCTTCCAAACCTTCTGCAAAAAAATTTTTTTAGTGTGAGGGAAGGGCTGTGGGATGAGGAGAGGAAAGGAATGATCATGTGTATGACCCTTCAAGCAACGCTGCATTTCACCCTATGTGTTTATAACTTGTGCATCTTACTTTTTCAGTGTAGATGGTTAGAATACATTGGCCATAATCCTACTACTTATAAGGCCATCTTTTAAGACTTAGTGGTGAATTGCTACTAGTAAAAAAGTCAGTTTAATCATTTGGTGTCACACAGTCACAGGATTCAGTATGCAATACCAAAAGTCTATGTTTACATCTCAACTAGTGACAGTTTGCCACTGATGTTTACACTAATTATGTTAGCATAATTCTTCAGCTGGATCCCTGCCATTATCTTATACAATACTGTTAACAGTACAGTGGTGCCTCGCTTAACAGGTGCCCCGTTTAACGACAAAATCACATAGCGATGAGGATTTTGCGATCGCTTTGTGATGGTCTGAATGGGGTTTTTTCGCTTTGCAATGATCGGTACCCTGCCTCGCTTACCGATCATCGCAAAACGATGATTTTAAAACAGCTGATCGGCGGTTCCAAAATGGCCGCCGGGTAAAAAACATGGCCGCATGCTGTGTTTAGGGACGGATTCCTCGCTTACCGGGCACCCAAAATGGCTGCCGTATGGAGGATTTTCCCTTAAAGGTAAGTTTGTAGCCCACAGTAACACATTAAACAGGTTTTAATGCATTCCTATGGGCTTTTTTATTTCGCATAGCGACGAAATCGCTTTGCAGCGATTTTTGCTGCACAGATTATCGTTGCTATGCAAGGCACCACTATATAGGAAATAGATGGTCTGGAAATATGCTTGAAAAGGCAAATCACAGCTTCTGGAGATTCTGGGAGTTCAATGTATGTACCTTATGCCCATTTTGCCTTACAGTATAGCAAAGGCCTGGTTGTTGTGGGTTTTTTGGGCTCTTTGGCCGTGTTCTGAAGGTTGTTCTTCCTAACATTTTGCCAGTCTCTGTGGCTGCCATCTTCAGAGGACAGCACTCTGTGCTCTGGTTTTGTTGGCTTGGGAGTGAAGTATTTATGGCTGTGAGATGGGCTTTTGTCTTTTTCTGTAGATGGGTGGGGGAAAAAAGACAAAAAGACAAAAGCCCATCTCACAGCCATAAATACTTCACTCCCAAGCCAACAAAACCAGAGCACAGAGTGCTGTCCTCTGAAAACGCTGGCTTTGGCGAAACGTTAGGAAGAGCAACCTTCAGAACATGGCCAAAGAGCCTGAAAAACCCACAACAACCATTAGATCCCAGCCGGGATTGTGGTCTCTAAAAAAAAACAAACCCACCACTGGGTAAAATCAAATGTGACCAAGGTAGAAGTCTATTTGCATAATGGGACTTTTCCATCCATGTCCCCTGCACATTGCTAGATGGTTCACCAACTCTTCAAGCAAATTTTGAGGGCCTGTGGTGGATTACAGGGAAAGGAGGGGGTGTGCCCCTTTAATCACATCAGTGGTAAAAACATCCCTATTAGTGAAACAACTTGGTTGTATACTGTGCATTGTTTTAATTTTAAGGGGGAGGGGAACCAAATCCAACTTTTTTGCATGTTGGGTGATTGTATCCACAAGCAACTTTTTAGATTTAGGGATTCAGTTGCCATTGCGGTGGATAACCTCTACCCTTTTGCTTCATAGGTGAGTTAAACTGGTTTTATTACGTGACCATGCCAATGCCAGCGTCCACCTTCACGATTGCTGTTGGATGCTGGGCAGAAGTTAAAAGCAAAACTTGTGCAGTAACTGCTGTTCAGAGGAATGATGGGTTCTTTCCACTGTTCTCAAAGACGGATGTCAGGTTGGTGATTACAGTTGAAAAATATGTACTTTACAGAGCATTCCATTTCTTCTGTTATACAAGAAAATGAGTCACCAGAGCAAAGTAACAATAGGCAAACATGTTCAATCAAAGCAAAGGAAAGCCGTACAAGATAAATTAGTCCAGTGGGTGAGGGTGTGTAAGGGTGTGTTGCTTATGTAAAAAGAAAGTGTTTTTTGAGCAATGAAATTAGTTTCTGCATGGATTTGCTTTAGCTGAAGTATATGAAAACTGAACTCTGTATAGTTTAAAAGTTCTCATGCTGCTTTTCTGCATATACTTCTATTTGTTTGTGGCTCACTCAAACTGTTCTTTTTTTAAACTCAAACTGTTTGTTTATACAGACACTTTGGTTAATGATTGACTGATTGCAGATGTTCTCACAATTGTATTGGGAAAAAACTGAAATTGAAGTACCTAGGGTTTCCGTAAGTTGGAGACAATTTGATGGCATATAACAACAAGAAGCATGTTCAGTTTAGCAGTCTTGTGTTAGATGTAGCTTTGCTTTAGCTCTCGGTCAAACAGTTATTTTAAGGGACACTTCTCTAGCTATGGTGAAATACAGTGCTTCGTCTTATAAACGTTGAACTGCTTATAATGTTAAGTTTTAAAAATCTGTTTGCTCTTCGTGGCCTTGACCAATGTATTTATTTAATCCAGTGCTCCTACTTCTAGTTTTACATGTTTTTAATCATTCAATGTATTTTAATCAGTTTTTAGTTTAATTGTTTTTTAATGTATAACTTACTGCGTTTTTAACCCTATTCTTTTTGAATATTGTGAGCCACCTTGAATCCCTTTATTGAGAGAAAGGTGGCCTATAAACAAAGAAACAAAACAACAACAAAAAGAAAAATAAACAAATGTATGTATGTATGTATGTATGTATGTATGTATGTATGTATGTATGTATGTATGTATGTATGTATGTATGTATGTATGTATGTATGTGGAGACTAGATGGATAGATATTTTTTTATTCTGTTTGTGATATGCCATACTTCTATCATGTGTCCTTAGGAGCTTACTTTCTGAGGTTCCAAAACTTCTGTTTTGCTTTAAGTTGCCTACATATAGAAATGACAATGTGTCCTGTTAGCCATATTTTCCATCCAATTGTTTTGTGTTTGAAGTATCCTGTTTGCAATAGTCTCTGTTTGTTCACATATTTGTAGTAAGATTGATCCACAGAAAAGCATATTGCAGTTCTGATCCATTTGTGTCTCATGTTTTGGAATCTGTAACAAATCATTGATTTCATGGCAAGATTTGTTCAGAGGACATTGGAATATTATTGCTGTTAATATGTTCTGACTCTGTGCCACGTAAGATTAGAAACATCATTCAGAACAGCTCCACACATTATAGATTTATTTCCCCAAACTCTAGAAATGATAAACAGACATATGCTTGTTGCAGATAGATTTGTGATGATCTCTTAACTAGAGGAAGAAATCATGAGAGAGATGTGCACTATGTTCTTTTCATGGCTTTAGCGATCTTCTAATGTAATATCTGCATCAATGTGCTAACCAAATTTCCCATCTTAAAAGGAGGTGGTGGGGAATTTCCTAATACTAGTTAAAAGGGAATCTGGGTATTGGTAATTATAGTTATTGGTCATATGCTTAGAGTTTGAAAATATTACTTTTTGGGTTATATCTACCAGAATCTTTGAGTAAGTAATGTTTGCAGGTTCTCGCTATGATGCAGCTCTACAAGGTTCAGCTGACAAAAGACAGAGGAGGAAATTCATTTGGAAGAACAGCAGAACAGGCATGTGAGCTCAGAGCTCCTTCCCACCCAGGAGAAAGAAAGTAACAGTCCTCCATCTGTAGAGAATTACAGTCTCCTGAAACTCTTTCCGCTCTTTTCAGAGCACTCCTAAAATGGAACATCTTCTTGTAAATCTTTCCTTCCTGCAATTTTTGGTTATTGGTAAAACTGTAAATCTGGGAAGATGATAAATAGTTTACATTTTGTAGCCCTGAGATTGAACAAATTGAATCTGTTTTTTTTTTTTACCTATAGTGTAGGTCTCAAAACATTAGAAGTCACATCTTTACTGAAAAGAGGCAGCCCTACAAATGGAAGTGTGTTTCCATGCAAAGTAATAATGTATTTCTTCTTAATGTACCAAAGATAATACAAGTGAACAAAGATGCAAAGGCCGGAGCTCAATGACAATAAATTTAGATTAAGGTTCAAGGGAAGCTTTCAGGGGCAGAAGATATTACCACTAATAAGCAGCAAATGAGTCAAGATGATAGACATAAAACCTTGATTATGCATAATAATTGTTAGTTTTATAGACGTTTGTACAGAACTGGGTACTGGATATGGTTCTCTCTTAAATTTCGATTTGTGATGCAGACCTCTTTAGGCAGCATTGAATGGGGAGGTCCAGACATTCTCCTCCATTTTTTACCCTTCTGTGTTTTCCTAATACTTTTCTGGTTTGGTTTTGTTGTTGTTGTTGTTCATTTGTCACTGCAATAAATCAATTAAGGAGCAAAAGATGGTACAGATACAGAGTGAGGCATCCACATTGGAATCCTTTAAGGGAGAAAAGTGGGAGGTATATATACGGACAGCTCTTACATTATGTATATGTAGTGCAGGAGCTGTCCATTTTGAAGCAATGCATAGTTCATGGCCCTAGGCTTGTTACTATTTTTGACCTAAATTCCTTTTTCTTAAAAAAATGAACGGCCAACTCCTATTCCTAATTTATGTAAGGGAAATTGTGTAAGTCTTGTTGGGAAATTGCCATTGGGTATGTGCTCAAGAATGCAGCCAGCATCTTATCAATGAAAAGCAATTTGAAGCCAAGACTTAAGGGATTTCCCTTAGGTAGTCATCCATCAGCAAGAGGATTCTGGCTCTTATACCCTAACGGTACATTTTCCAAAGTGATAAGGAGACAGAATGTGACCATATTTGGGAAGTGACAAAATTGACTAGTTTTATACTTAAATTAGACAGTCAAGCCATGTTCCTTTGACGCTTCCTTGACTCCACTGGAAACTCTTATCTTAGTCTCAACAGAAATATACCCGTCAGTCAAACCTGCCATGTCAATGTAATTTTTATATTGAGTTTTCTTTTTTAAAAAATTTAATCTAGATGAAATCCTGTTTTCTATCTATAGGTGTGAACATCCATGTTATCTCTCAAATCAAAAGAGAGAATTTCTCTTCCTGATCTAGGTTGGGCATGGCTGAAGTGTTGTAATCAAAACAAATAAACAACAACAACAAAAAACAGCCATTTTAAAAAAAATCAAACTGATTTAAAAATGATTTAAATTTTAAAAAATCTTTTCAAAATTTAGATTGTCAAAAAATCCCAGTTTTGAAAATTTAATTAAAATCCACTCTGCTTAGAACTTTGGTTGTTATAAATGTCAAACAAAATAAGTTATTTTTCCCCCCACTATTAGGTTGTTAGAAGAAGCTTGTGGACACTTGCCATATCCTTGCCGTTTCCAAGATCCTAGTGCTGCTTCCCAGGTAGTCATTCCTTATCGTCTCTTTGCTCCATCCCACCTTGAGAAATCCGGTGAAGAGGTTCTACTCAAGCTGATCCCTCAGTGCCTCTCAGCTGCTTATGATCTACTGGGCACTCATCCCTTTTCCCGGCTCGATGTGTTGATTGTCCCATCCAACTTTTCCAGTCTTGGTATGGCCAGGTATGCATATTTTCGTAGTTTCTCTGTTTGTTTGCTCTTCCCCTTGTTACTCAGAATGTGTAGCATCATAGTTTTGTTATCTTCAGTTGCATCGTTATTCACTGCAGGAGAGGATTTTAAAAGATCTTATTTGCATTTATCTTACCTTCTCTGTTTTGGGATAGGGCAGAGACAATCAGTTACAAAGCAGCTACATATTTCCATTTAGAAATCAGAAATGTAAACTACTTTCATGGAGTTATTGAAAATCCTGGGCATGTTAAGATAAAAATGAACAACTTTTCCAGTAAGTATTAGTCAAATTCAACTGTAGTGATAATAACAACAAATTGAAATGTGTCCCGATAGTTGTGTTAGTAGTATGCTGTGGCCTAGGAGGTTAATAGGAGCCTGTCTATACATAATACAAGACTACCAATGATAACCTTAAAATAAAGGGAGTGCAATTCTAAGGGTGGTGGGGCTGTTGAAAGAGATCCCACTCCATTTTCAGCATGCTGGAGAAATGTATCTGTATTTAATGGATGATAAGAACCATTCACAGAGACCAGCAACTATGTATCTTGACCTGTGCAGACACAAAAGGGCTATTTACAGAAGATTGCAAAAAGAGAACAAAATACAGTGGTGCCTCACATTACGATGTTAATTCGTTCCAGCGAAATCGCTGTAGAACGAAAACATAAAGCGAAATTAAAAAGCCCATCGAAATGCCTTAAAACCCGATTAATGTGTTCCTGTGGGCTTAAAACTCACCGTCCAGCGAAGATCTCCATAGCGCGCCCATTTTCGTTGTGCGTGCAGCGAGGAATCCGTCCCAGAAAACAGCGGGCAGCCATTTTTTTTACCCGGCGGCCATTTTGAAACCGCCAATCAGCTATAGGAAAATCATCGTTTTGCGAGAATCGGTTCCCGAAGCAGGGAACTGATCATCACAATGCGAAATTCCCCCATAGGAAACATCGTTTTGCGATTGCCTTTTGCGATCGCAAAAACTTCGTAAAACGGAGCGCTCGTCTTGCGAGGCACCACTGTATACATTCCTAGTAGAGCTGTATTAAGGAAAGAAGGGATATTTATGGTGGTCTTGTGTACATGCTCACTGAGGAGATTCAATGGTTTTAATACCATTGTGGCTAATAGTGATGTTGTTATTTGAAAGGTTATGTCCTCAGAAGACACTATTGAACTTTTTCTCATAGCTGCAAAAATATCAATAGAAATGCATGGTAAACAAGAATACATGTTTCATGCTGATCATTTCCAGCTAAATAAGGTACAAGAAGTAGTAAGCAAGATAAAATTCACAAATGACATTTACACATTGGGAGGATACACTTAAAGACGAATCGTGGCAATAGGTATATCCGCCTTTAGGGAAAACAGCAAGAGCATTTAATTACTGCATGATGTTGCAGGGAAACCCTTTCAAGATTATGATCCATTTTGACTTGCCTTGATTCTTTACCTTTGGTATTTATTCAAAATTATACATTGCTTGTTCAGACAAACTAATAGCTGTTTTCTGGTATAAGTTGTAATGCAATATAATGTAAGTAGGGAGTAATTACATTAAAAATTGGAACACGAATGAGATTAAAGTAATTGCAGCAGGAGAAACACATGATGAGATTTTTAAAAAAGGTGTATGTGGGCAATGCCTTTTTAGTAAGTCAATATTCAGGAGGTTATTCAAGTGACTCCAAATTATCCATGCCTGGGGTCAAACTACATGTCATATTACACATAAGAGTGCATTTTTTATTTAAATGAATAACTTATAGCAACACAAATACATGGAAATAAAAAAGCATATAGATACAAACAATGTAGGGAGATGGTTTGCAATAAATCCAAAGCTGCTCAAGAAAAAAAAATGAAAAACACTTTTTGTTTTAATTTAAAGTACAGTGGGCCCTCGACTTACAGATGGCTTGACTTACAGACTTTTCCTGTTACAGACCTCTCTGGCTGCAAAATTTAGGTTCAACTTGCAGCCTGAGAATCGACCTACAGACCAGAAAAAAACCAAAATGGAACAAAAATGGAACAAAAACAGCTGGTTACGGGATTAATTGGTTTTCAATGCATTGTAGGTCAATGGAGACTTGACCTACAGACTTTTCGACCTGCAGCCACCGTTCCAATACGGATTAATTCCGTAAGTAGAGGGTCCACTGTATGTGCTTTGTTTGTGTATGTGGGACAAATTGTACTGATTGAAAAACTCACAGAAAAATACTTCCATTGGTCCCAGGCCAAAGGAACTCTCTCTTTAACCCCTTGTTTAGTGGGCTGGATGTTGAGATAAGAACCATATTCGAGGGAGGAGCTTAAAACTGTCTACCCATGCATATTTGTCCCAGTCTGAATCAGGGCATGCTTAAAGTAAAATAAAAAGGAATCTTCAACTGCACACTGGATTTGCAGTTTGTCAGTTATGTAAAAAAAGAAAGAAGGGCATTCCATAATATTGCTTCTACCACTGCAAGATCTATACTTTGTGGCTGTCTTAATAAACCAGTTTCTGGATACAACTTTGTTCTTGGATTCTGATTCTAGTTTGCTTGTGTACAGCAAGGATCCTTCCCAGGAGGTAATGTAAAGCAAACACAGGCAAGTTTGTTTGCTTGTTTGTTTGTTTAGCTGCTCCTACTGGCAGTAGACACTATGTGGAAGTGATTGGAACACATAGTAGCACATTTATTTATTCGTGGTAAGACAGAAATTGTAATGATCACTTCTTATTATATGTGGACCGGGCCACAGTTACATATGCATCTGACAGATTTTCAACTAAGTGTAAGTAAAACATGCAATAACGACCAATGGTCATACTGGTTCTAGGATTCTACCAGTTGTCCAAAAAGTAGATTTTCAAGGCTCTAATCATTATAATGATATAGGCATTCTTCTGTTTGCATTTGTGGATATTTCTGTTAATTTAAATCTTACCATTGTTTACCGCAGTGGTTCTTAACCTTGGGTTACTCAGGTGTTTATTGACTGCAACTCCCAGAAGCCTTCACCACCAGCTGTGCTGGCTGGGGTTTCTGGGAGTTGCAGTTCAAAAACACCTGAGTAACCCAAGGTTAAGAACCACTGGTTTACTGTCAGCAATGGATGGCTGCAGTTCAGATACAGCCCTGTGTTCCAAAGTTGTATTAGGACTTTATGTATCCTCTTGATACAGAAGGAGTGTTGACCTATGTATGCAGTGCATCATCTAATGGAGTGGCTCACAGCCTTGGCCAGGGTCCCCACTGGTTCTTGGGCCACAACTCTCAGAAATCCTGACCAGTACAGCTAGTTTTGAAGACTTCTGAGAGTTTTAGTCAAAGAACATATGGAGATTCAAGATTGGGTGGGAATCACGGATCTAAAACATTGGCAGTATAATATCACTATAAAAATGATAGTATGCTTGCACAGAATTTTTGTTGTACTCATGTCTTCCAGAAAGGAAACATCTATAATTTTTTATCATTATCTTCAGATCTGCATGTGTGTGTCCTTGTGCCCATGTACATTGGGAAGTCTGTTCCTCATTAGCTATGTAGCTATTTCTATGTACCATCTCTCATTTGAAGGGGATGGTTCTCTGGCATGTCAGATGTAGGAAGAAATGATGGTACTTCTTTTGCAGAACAGCTTAATTAGAGGCTTGGGGTTGTATTTTCCAGCAGCTGCCAGTGCAGATTCAGCAGCATTTTGTTTCAAGACCTGCTGACGCCTTTTAAAGAAAAATCTTCCTTTGAAATCTACTTATATGCCTTGTGTATATCATCACCTTATGTTTTTAATTTCCCTTGGACTTTTTTATGGAAAGAAAAGCCTGCCTACTCTTTCTTAAAAAGTCACTCCTCCATTTGGATCTTCAAGAGAAACTTGCATGGGAGATTATTTTGATGTATTTAGCTTAAGACTGTCATCATGTACTGGCTCTTTTCTAGTGAACAGAATAGTGGAAACTGTGCAATTGTGGTTTTTTTCACTAAATATTCTCTTGCTATGTGTAATACTTCTTGTTGGTGTAGAGAACATTGGAAGCACTTGCCTATACTTTATAGTGGATTTATCTCGATTTAGGCTGCTTTGGCAATTTAAAATGGGCAAAGTGGTACTTGTATCTACAGCACTGCAGTAGTGTACCCTTTATAAAAGTCCTCTGTTTCTTTTAAAATTGGCATAATGAATTCTCTCTCCATGAAAAATTAAAATATTAGATTAATTAACTCCTCTAGCAGGTAGATGTCACTCTGAGTTCCTTTCTCCAAAGGGAAAAAACAATACTTCACTTTAGAAATAAATTACAGTAGTACAGAAACCTTTTACAGTACAGATATTGTTTTATCGAAATAAATTACAATGGTTAGTCTAACTTTGGAAGTAAACATGAAATTAGACTGCAGAACCCAGAACTCTTAGTTTTTTCTAACTTGGATGCTGGACATTATTAATATTTTATGTGTGGTTTAATACATTTTTAACATGTTTTAAATTGTTTTAATGAATTATTTTGATACTACTATATGTTTAATTGTTCTCTAATGTAATAATTCATTCTGTTCATAATGAGTTCATTTTAAAAATAATTTATGAGCTAACTTGAACCCCTTCCTTGGGGGAAAAGAAGCATAAAAATTAAAATAAATGAACATTTAAAAATTAAATGAATAAAAATTTATCTGAGATTATGAGAGTTAATAGTCTGCAAGCAGTAAGTGTTGGGCTTTGGTAGAGTTTGGTATGAGGAAATAGAGTGTGGCCCTTAATAATAAAAAACTTTCCTTCTGATTATGCAACAGATTAAAATAGTTTGGTCAGGAAGGTAAAGGTAAAAGTTCCCCTTGACAATTTTTGTCCAGTCGTGTTCGACTCTAGGGGGCGGTGCTCATCCCCGTTTCCAAGCCATAGAGCCAGCGTTTGTCCGAAGACAATCTTCCGTGGTCACATGGCCAGTGCGACTTAGTCACGGAACGCTGTTACCTTCCCACCAA